ATAAGACTCCATCTCAAAAAAACAAACAAACAAATAAAAAATATATTGCCAGATGCTGATGTTCAGTGTACTTTCTTTGCCGGTTCAGTCTCGGAAGGTGGCGCTCAGTTGCAGAATGTGCTGTACCTTTCAGCACCTGATGTACATATCCCGCATAACAGAAAGAGCAACGATAAAATACTGATCCTAAAAAAAGTGAGGGACACATCCACGGGCCACTCTGTGACCAGCAGGAAAGGGGTTAACTCCTTCAGGAGATTCTCCATTCCAGGAAAAGGAAAAGGGGAGAAGTCCCCTCTATGCTTTCTAAATAGAATCTTCAAAATATGTCCCAGCGTCCCAGGCCTCCACTCTGGGAAGGCCAGACAGAGGCCGGCACAGCCCGCAGAGAGGAAGGGCCTGGGGCTCAGCAGGATGCAGAAGCTGGCAGGGTCCCAGGTCATCTCAGGGCACCCACCCCGCTCCCCACCCATGGGCCACACCCAGCCTGTTGGCCATTTCCCAGGGTACCCACAGCCCTCGCAGCACCACAACCTCCCTCCTCATGGAATTTCTGAAAGCCCCAACTCCCTAGGAGCCCAAAGCATTGGCAGTGACACACCCAGTTCCCAAAGATGTTCCCTACTGCCTTCCACGGGTGTGCAGATGAGCTAGACACCCCACCTGCCTCTCTCATCAGTGCTCAGCTTCAGTCCAAGCAGGCGCACCCTGTGGCCAAAGCCAGCCCACATGCCAGTTATGGGAAATACACAAAACACTTCCCAAGGCGGTCACACCTCTGCCACGCTGCTCTTTCTGCTGCAGAAGCCTTGCCCTCCCCCTTTGCAAACTCCTGGCCATCCCTCAAAGCCCACGTGAAGTATCACAGATACCCCATGCCAGCCATTCCCTCCCTCCGGCTCAAACTATAACTAGCACAGACCCCGTTACAGAACCAGACATGGCGTCTGCATGTACCTCGCTCACCTCCTGGTGGGGACTGAGTTTAATCTACCTTTGAAGCCCCTGCACCTCATACTGAACCCAGGGCCAAAAAGCTCAGGAACCCACATCAAGATGCCACTCTGGTCCCTTCCCATCATCTGGTCCTGTGCTGAGCACCCTGGCCTCTGCTGAGAGACTAATATCATGGTAACAACAGAAGCACCTAATGTTTATGGAGTACTTCCTAGGAGCCAGTGCCTTGGGGGCTCTCTGAGATTACCTCCTTTCATCCTTGTGACAGTCTCATAAGGGAGTTGTTATCCTTAACCCTGTGACACAAGGGACTTGAGGCACAGAGAGGTTAAGTTTCTTGCCCTGGGCCACACGGCTAATGAGGGAGGGAGCAGAAATTCAGACCCGGGTGGTTTCTTTCCGGAGCCGGTGTTCTTAATCACAACAGGTCTATTTGCAGGTAGGAAGATGGTCAAGGCAGATGTGTCAGGAAAAGCCCTGAGTGGAAGAGGAACTCAGGGATTATAAAGGCCAGTGCTTCCAGACCTTCTCTTTCCCCAGGTCCCAGTCAAAAGCCTCGGAAGGGCAAACAGAGTCTCCTCCCAGACTAAGCTTGCTGCTCCCAGGCAGAATCCTGTGCTGAGCACCAGTTACAGGAAACATAAAAAGCCCATCTGCAAGTGCCCTGGCCCGAGACAGGGGTGGCACATGGCTGGGCTGCCCTCTGGGAGGCGAGAGCCATGATTCGGGACTATTCTTAACAAACCACTGGCTCCCCTCCCAGAGGCCCAGCAGGCAGCAGGCCCAAGCTTCCATAAGCCTGCCCAGCCTGCCATTTCCTGACCCCGTGTATGGAGGTCCCACAGGGCTAAGGAGGGACTAGTGGGCACAGACTGAGGACAAAGCCCTCCAGCTTTCACATGAGAGATGCCTGGCCCACCCAGCCTGCTCCAGGACTCACCCAGAGGCCCAGGGCCATGCACCCAGCTGCCGAGGAAGCCCTGCAGAGTCCTGGCCACAGGGGACGGCTCATAATCAAAGGCCCCCACCCCGACATCAACTGAGCACTCACTCCATGCCATGCACTGGGCCACATGCTTTGCACTGATTTTCTCCCACTGAACCCACAAGGAGGTAGAGGTTAGTGGCCCCACTCTAAAGATGAGGAAACCAAGACATTAATTGACTTGCTGGAGGTTACATGGTGCATTAGTATCAAACCATATCTAGAATCTGGGCTGGCTCTCAGGTGCCAGGTTGGGCAGAGGTAGACCTGAGCATAGCAAGGTGGTGGACCCCTTCCCTGTGCAAGCCCGGGGCTTGGCGGAGAAGGAGCCCGCCCCAGAGGGCAGTGGGTCTCATCACAGATGCAGCCGCATGTGCTCTCTCTCTCCCCTGGGGGAATCTCCCATCCCTGTCAAAGGCCCGCAGGCTTGCGTTCAGGAGAATCCCCAGGCAGTTCCTCCTCTATTCTGGTAGGCAAAGAATAGCTGGAGCACTCCACCCAGGCCACACAGCCTCACTTCAGGAAGCCCCTGGAGACCCAGAAAAGATGAGAATCAAAATTCAAAGAGCACCTGCTGGCGTTTAAGGCACAGCCCAGCCTTGTAATGCAGAGGTGGAGAGGCCAAATGACTCTCAGAGGAAAACACAGGAGACTGAGCTTTTGGGGGTCCTCAAACCCCAAAGTGAGAGTCTAGAAATAAGCTCCACCACAGAGCACCGGTACCATCACCACTCCAAACAGGACCACTCCCGGGCACTGTGTCACGCAGGGAAAGGGTGATACCCAGGTAACGCGCGCCTCGGCCCACCTCTCAGAACCCACCTGTGTCTGGTTCCGGGCCTCTGCTGTCAGCTGGCTCTGGCAAGCATATGTGTCTGTGCCCCCCAGGAGCTCACAGCCAACTCCATTCTGCCCAGGTACTTGAGCGGCTTCCCTGTGGCTCCAAGTCTTGTCTGGGAATGCCGGTTCTCATCCCCGTCTGTGCTCTGGTGGGTCTACCTATATGTCTGTCCACTTACATGTCTGCCTCCCACGTGGGGAGATTCAGATCCCAGCGATGGTGTATTTCTATGTACATGTCTGCAGCCCATACGTGGCCCACGCTGATGCGTTCATGTATGTCTGTCCCCGCACACATCTGTGTCCCCGGGTAGTTTGCTCACCCCCATCATCCTCCTGTGTCTGTCCTCATGCACATATGCATCCAGTTCCTCTATGTCTCTGCCCACGCAGCTGTAAACCTGAGCATACACGTGCACTCACGTCTCTGCCCCCATGGGTATCCCCTACAGGTGCCTGGGTAACCCACGTCTGTGCACCACCTGTTTTGAGGCAGGCAAGTGTGTTCACACAAGTTCTCACAGTGCCAGCCAAGAGTTTCGGGTGAGCTCAGCAACTCCCACTCCCAGAACTGCACCCAAGGCCACGAGCATGAGCACACTGCCACCTCCACAAAGTGTTCCAGAAAAACAGAAACCTGCCAGGGACAGTGAGGGAGGGGGCAGGGCCCCAGATACAGCAGAGCCTCACAGAAGTGAGGTCAGAGCTGTGCCAGGAACCACCCACCTCAAGTCACCTGGGCCCTACTGTGCCCACCCCCAACACTGGCCAGGGAAGTAGGGGGGTGCATGCACCACCTGGGGTCTGTCTGCACTCACAGGAAACTGACCCAGTGCCTGCCAGCCTCCCAACCTACCCCCAACCCCCAGCGATGGAGGCTCTTCAGAAAGGAAGTGAGGACTTCCTCCTGTTTGCCTCTGAACCTCCTACAAGGCTGACTCTAGACCCCAAACCCCAGGAGCCACAGGGCAACTAGGAGAGTCCCATGCTCAGTCCAAGCCAAGAAACCAAATGGGTTACTTCAGAAATCCACCAGCAGGAAACAAACAAACCTGGGAGTGGGTGGGGATGGGTGCAAGAGAACCTCCTCAGCGCCCCTGCTGCTCCCTGCCCTTGGAGCAGGGTAATAAGTAAGGGTGGGCATGGAGCTGGAACATTTCAGCACATTTGCTTGCTTGCATGGAACTGGATCTCTGCTGCCCTGGCAGTCTCGCAGCCTGTATTACTCATGTAGCAATTAATGGTGTGTAGCCTCTTGGCTTTCCACTATCACCAGTCCAGGACTGGTATCGAAACCCTGTATCAGTGAACTTTGTGTGTTTATGTCCTGTTTTCCCCCCAGAGGCTGAGCCTCCTGAGGACAGAATCCTCCAAATCTCTCCCACCCGCACACTCCAGGGGCATGGTCCAGTGCCCTGCCTGGCATTTAAGAGGTGCTCAGCCACTGGGTTCAGGTTGTTCTACCCAGAAGCTAAGGAGTTGGTGCCTGGGCCTCTGGCTGGGAGAGTAGCGATGCCCAGAATATTCCCGGGGCCATGAAGCTTTACTCCCACCTCTGACAACCCAAGAGACATGAAAGAGCTCCAACCATTCCGGCCACCTTCAGGAGCCCGGTGCTGCCGGTCTCCCATAGGCCACTCTCTCTCTGACAGGTCACTGCCCCTTCAGGAAAACCCTCTGAAACTGAAAAATGTACTCTCCTCGGAGACCCAGGCCTACAGAGGAAGATACCCCATGCCAGCCATTCCAGACTGGGCCAAGAATCAAAGCGTGTGCCCGCTGAGACTTCTGGACTCATCCTGGATCTGCGGGCCTCACGCCCCCTAGCGATGAGTCCCAGCACCCTATCTCGGTCATGAATCGGCTTCCCTCTCCCCAATCTCCCCCTAACTTCGCGGGGAACCCTAGCTCCTGGCCGTGCTCCCAGGTCTGGCAATGAAAAGTGGAACTGTCGCCAGCCCATGCCTACACCAAACCCAGGGAACTCGGGAGAGGGGGTAGCCCAAGGTCCAACACACAGAACCACACAGCAATTGCTCCCTGTGAGTCCCTCTTGCCTCCCAGCGATCAATACTGAGCTGGTGTTGGGTGAAGGCCCAGGACCTCACCTCCCCAGAGGATGGGGAGTTGGTGTCTGGAGCAGCCTCGGAATGGGGGGTGCCGGGGGATTCTGGATTTGCCCGCCCCTCGCCAGCCCCAGGCCGGGACACGTCTGTACCTGCCAGCCCGCGGCTCCGGGGGGCATCCGTGCTCCTACGGCAGGCGCGCTGCGCCCGGACTGCGGGCGCCGAGTCAGGCAGCGGCGGGGCGCGCCCGGCGCGGGCTCTGGCTCCGGCTCGCTCCTCCCAACTTCCCCAGCCCATGCGGGGGCAGAGGCGGCTCCGGAGGTGGGCAGGCCAGGCGGACCCGGCGAGGCCACGCGAGAGGGAGCCCGCACTCACCGCCAACTGGAGCTGAGCGCCCCGGCCCTTGCGCGCCGAGCTGCTGCCCGCGCCCCGCGTCCCCAGCGCCGAGGGGCGGATCCGGCCAGGCCGCCAATCACCGCGTCCGCCCCCGCCCGGACCGCCAGTCCCGGCCCCACTGCGAGGGGCGGGGGGCTCGGATTTAAAGACACACTCACCCCAGCCGCGACCCCCGGGCGGGCGGAACGCGGGCCCCACCTTCCCCGGCCGCGCTTCCTCCCTCGGCGAGGAGGAAAAGTTTGGGGCGGGGGAGACTGCCCGGGAAGCCAGTTCCTCTTCCCTCGTCGCTAGTGCGGCTCCTTCTGGAAGACACCCAAACCCTACATCCAGCCTCCTGGCTGCGAGAGGCAGCAGCGCTCTGGGCGCCACACCCCGTCCCGGACGCCGGCTACCCGCGAGATCCGCTGGCCTGGCTTCCCTCGCCCCTCTCTGCTTTACAGGCAGGCCGAGCCTCGGCGGGACCGAGCCCAGCACGTGGGCTCCAGGCTGGCCTCGCTGTGCTGTGCGACGGGAGCTAGAAGATAGTGCGCCCTGGACTTTTGCCTCCCACGTGTCGAAGGGGAGCTCCTAAACAGCAGACTGTCCTCCCAAGCAGGGGCTCCTCCTACGCCCCGGGGTCCTAAGAAAACGCGCCCCTTGGCCCCCAGAGGCGAAAGGGGAACGGCAGAGCAGAGTTTTGGATGGAGAGGGGTCCCTCTGCCCCCACCCCATCATGCGGTTTCAGGCAGTGACCCGCACCATAGGCCTGCCCCCCACCACCCCTCACCCCACCCGCGCGGACTAGCGCTAGGTGGCAGCCAGCCCCGACGGCCCCACATGCCCCCGCGAGCACGTGGGCGAATGCACCCACGTGCGTGCGTTCACTCCTCGCTGGCTGGTGCTTCCTCGCGGATAGATGGGCTTTGTTGTGGTTGGTGAGTCACTTCCTCCCTCTCGCCGCTCCACACTCGGGAAATCCTTCTTTCTCACCTGTTACCACGTGCCTCACCCCCATTCGGGACGGAGCGGGATTTGGGCGAGCTGGGGTTGCCCCAGAATGAAGGCAGTGTAGGCACCACCTCTGTCAGGCTGGAGAGTGCTGGGCTGGGAGAGGGGAACACATTCCCCATGACCCCTAAGAATAACTGAAGACAAGAGAAATGACTCATTGTGGTGGTCTCACCATGTCCCCAGCACCTAGCTCTTAAGTGCTTCGCGATGTTGTAAGGTCAATACTTTTCTGATCCCTATTTTAATAAATGAGGAAACAGGCCCAGGGAAACTTGCCCGCAGCTCCATACCTCCTCCTGCGCCACCCAAGGTGTGTGAAAAACGACAGCAGCAGAGAAAATCCCATAGTGGCCTTGGCAAACAGACCTGACCTTCAGAGTTCAGCAGAGCTAGGCTCAAAGTGGCTCACAATTTACTGGCTGTGTGGTCTGGGAAAAGTGATGTAAGTTCTCAGATTCCCAACTTCTGCATCCATAAGATGGCTTCATCCTCCTTCAAAGAGGTGTTTGAGAAGCCAGTGAGCTGGGCAAGTAATGTCCAGGCATCATGTGTGGCACACTGTAGGACTCCATCCTGGGCCACAGTTTCCTTCCTTCTTCTTGCCACAGCCCCGTATCCCATCCTGCCCCCTGCCAGACTCCCCAGCTGAAGCCTGCCATCCTGAGGATGCATTCCAGGATAATGCCCTCCTCTAGGTCAGGACTAAGGCAGGGGCAGGCATGTGTGTGAGCAGATGCAAAATACACATTTACATACATGTGCATGCATACGCACACATGTATACACATACATGCACATATATGTATGCCAACGCACATATATACATATATAAACAGGCATATAGGTATGCATGCACATATATATACATACACAAACATAGCACATACACATATGCACATACACACATACAAATATACACACTTTGCTTCCCCTCACCTCACCCCCTGCCTGGCAGATGCTGGGATCCATGACTGTGTGCCTCTCTAGCTCCCAGAGAACAAAAGCTATGTCCTACCTGTGCCTGACCTGTCTTTTGGTCCACAGCACAGTGCCTGGCACGTCTTCATACATTCATTTGTACTCACCACACACACAGTAGGTGTTCCTGTTGAACCAAGCAGAAAAGCCCAGGACAAAGATGTTCTCAGGAAAGCCTGCAGTCACAACCCTTGTGGCTCTAACAGCCTCAGGGTTCAGCTGGTAGGTAGGGGGCTTGGAGGTTCCTCGGGGTCAGGCCACAGACTGCATCCAAACCACAGTGCCCAGCCTCACCAGCCCACCACCAGCCCCCCAGAGGGCCTGCCAAGTCCCTACTCAGAATAGCAAGTCGTGCAGCCCTGGCCGTCTGCTGGCCATGGGGCTAGGAGAGTTCCTGCAACCACAAGAAAGATTCACAGTCAGCTCTGCCTCGCCCTGGGCCTGGGAGGGGAACAAGGACTGAATGTTGAAGGTCACAGAGCAGCCCTGGGTACACCCAAGAGAAGGCACTCTGCTGTCTCCCCGGCCCCAGGCAGAAAGAAAGAATCACTCGAGCCAGCTCTCACTTGAGCCAATTTGAGCGGCTCAAACTGCAGCAGAAGATTCCTGAGAAATCTGGAAGCTCAGAGCAGAAGCCCAAAATCCCCTGAGAAAAGATTCATGGGTCCCAGACCAGGATCTCAGGAAGGAGAGAAGTCGGGACTGACCCTCATTCACCCAGCACCCCACCAGCACTGCCAGCACCCACCTCCCACACACATAAGCGCCCAAGACACCGTGTTATCATGCTTGTGGTGTTAGTGTGTGAACTCATATTTGCAGGGATCCATGTTTGTGCAAGTGTCTAGTGGGAGCGAGTGTGGCTTTATGAGTGAGCATGGGTGTATGCGTGTTTACATGTAGCATACACACGAAGCACCTGCCACAGTCCAAAACCAGACGAGCTGCTGCTGCAAAGAATGTAAGTAACCTGTTACTCACACCCCGACAGACTCGCCTGTGGCCATCCACTGCCCCGTCGGCCCAAGCAAGGTGCTGGTGCTCTCGGGAGAGAGCTCCCAAGTTCAGTCTCTGGGCAGAAACATGAGCTGTGGGAACCCCAGATTCCCTCGAGAGAACGCTTAAACCAAAAATTATTTCCTGACAGGCACAAATGACTTGCTGGAAAGCAGGGGAGCTGGATTCAAACCAGCAAAGATGAATCCTGATCAAAGACGGGAAACAGGCCCTAGCTGCTCTTCTCTACTCCCCACTCCCCTGACATCTGCCACAGCTGGGGAACACTGGGCCTGAGGAGTGGACAACATCAGAACACGGGCTGGCCTGGCCTTGCTCCTTGTAACTGCATTACTGCCAAGAACAGGAATCATGTGCACCCTCCAGGGTGGGAGTTTTGGGGCCTGCGATTTCCCCCCGAGCCCAGTGGTCTCTGAGCTTCAGGCAAACTCATCCCTGATGCCTGAGTCCCCACACAGACAGATCCCCTGTCTGCCATCTGCCCTTCCAGGCCCACTGCCCCATCTCCAGCATCCAGCACTCCCATTTTTTCGGCCCCCTTCTGTGTGCAATCCTAAAGACAAGGGCTTTAAGCAGGGCAGACCTGGGCTTGGATCTAGCCACAGCAACTTTACCACCATGTGACCCCATGCTACAAGTTACCACATTGCTCCAAGTCTCCTCATTTGTAAAATGATGCGAAGAGCAGTTCTTGCTTCCTGGGAAAGTCTGGAGGATAAAAGGTGCTTGGCACTCAGCCAGTACTTACTGATGACAGCTGTTCCTGTCATTACTGTTGCCACCCAAGCTCAAACTATGACCTAGCCCTGAACCTGCCAGGGCAGAGGGGTGTTTGGAGCCTGAGTTCAGGTTCCTCCTCCAGGCAATTTGCCTTGGACTCCTCCCCTATCTGCCCATGGGATCTCTGTCCACTCAGGACTCCTTCCCCTCCCTTCCCTGCCAGGCACTGGGACCCGAGCACCCCCGCCTGGCACAGGATACATGTTCGGTTATCGGCATCATACTATGGGCAGGATTATTCATTTAATTGGTTATACCCTTCTTTGGGTCTAAGCCTAAGGATTACATCCCCCAACTCCCAAATTCACACACAAGATTCAAACCTTTTTTTTACCAAGACCCAAAGTAAGAAATACATTTTACACCGGGGCCGGCTACACAGATATGTGAATGTGTGTTATTCACAAAAAACGCTTAGCCTTACTGCATTGGATGCATCCTGCTTCCTTCGACAGAGCCTCAGGCTGGAGTGCAGTGGCGGTGGCACAATCTCGGCTCACTGCTGCCTCCACCTCCTGGGTTCAAGCAATTCTCCTGCCTCAGCCTCCCAAGTAGCTAGAATTACAGGTTTCCGCCACCATGGCTAGCTAATTTTTGTATTTTTAGTAGAGACAGGGTTTCACCATGTTGGCCAGGCTGGTCTTGAACTCCTGACCTCAGGTGATCCACCTGCCTCGGCCACCCAAAGTGTTGGGATTACAGGTGTGAGCCACCACGCACAGCCCTCTAATCTATCTTATTCTATTTCGTTTTGTTATTGCTGACTGCAGGGCACTACACTGATTTTGCCCGTGACCTGCAGTTTGAACATGCTGCACAGAACAATGAGATTCCTAAGAGCAGGCACCAGATCTTGCTCCCCTCCCTCCCCACGGGACTACTTAAAGGCCTGACTGAAGAGCACCCAGGACATGTGGCAGGAGGGTGATTCTAGCTCCAGAACGTTCTTCAGGTTCTACAGGGAGATGCTCCATCAGATCAAGAGAGAAAAGGAGGGAGGAATCCTAGCTCATTCATTCCACAAATATATTTCATTCATTTATTTAGTCAGTCAGGCAGGGTACTGTTTCTCACACCTGTAATCCCAGCACTTTGGGAGGCTGAGGCGGGTGGATCACCTGAGGTCAGGAGTTCGAGACCAGCCTGGCCAACATGGTGAAACCCCATCTCTACTAAAAATACAAAAAAATTAGCCAGGCATAGTGGCACGCCCCTGTAATCCCAGCTACGTGGCAGGCTGAGGCACGAGAATTGCTTGAAACTGGGAGGCAGAGGTTGCAGTGAGCTGAGATCATGC